CCCCTTGAGCGAGATCCAGAAGGCCTTCTCTCAGTTTAACTACCGCGAAGATTTGCGCCGCCTCGGTCCGTGCGACCACTTGCAATGGGCGCTTTGCTTGCCCGCGGTCGACGAAACGTCGCCTGTGCCAGCAGTTTTGAGCGACCACCTTCCGCGAGTGGCTTCCATGCCGATTGCGGAACTGCAGACTGCGCGGCAGTCGGCTCTTGCTTTCTGGCAGCAGCGGAAGCTGGTGACCGACCCACAGTGGCAAACTATGTTTAAAAGTTACTGTCAGAGTGTGCTGGGGCCAGGGAAGAACCTTTTGCTGCAGCAGGAAATGCTCGAGGCCATACGCTGGCCAGACGCCGCGCTGATACGCAATATCTGCCACGGTTTTCCGTTGGTGGGGCGATTGCCTGCCAGCGGCATCCACAAATTAGCAGCCGTGTCTCTGGAACCAGCCGAGACATTGCAGTCACTTTTAAGCTGTCCGCGTGGACGGAATGAGGCTATCCTGAGCAGAATCGCCGCGGAAAAGAACGGCGACGCCAGGGTTCGCGCTCAATTCTTGCAAACCTGCGCAAGGGAAGTTGATGGAGGCAAGGCCCGTCTTCGAGCCTTGAACGTGGACACTTGTGTTTTAACGGCCCGTTTCCCAATCGTCCAGGGGGCGAAAGACGGAGCGCCCAAAATTCGCTGCATAGATGACTTCACCGCCTCTTTTGTGAATCGCGCGGCTGTACATAGCGAGAGGACTGCCCCCGACACACTTGACTCTTTGGTAACACTCGTGCGCCACGCATCCGCTGGCCATTCTCGCGTCGCCATGCGGTGGAGAAAAGACGATTTCAGGCATGCTTTCGAGACTCTGCCAACTTGTAGCAGCCATTTGCCTCTGGCAGTGGCGGCGTGGCCAGAAGCAGCCGCTGAGGGCCACGCGATGCAATTGCTTTGCTTGCCGTTTGGCTCGTCCGCCTATGTGTCTGGATGGGGCCGCTTCGGCTTGGCGGTGCAGGGCGCCCTCGCTGTGTTGTTTCACTTGTTGTATTTGCGCTTTGTCGACGACATGTTCGCAGGCGATTCCGCCACAGGCGCGCCTGCGGACGATGGAGATTCACTTGTTGGCCCACAGGGGTCAGCTCGACTAGCCAGGACTGTAGTTTCGGAGTTGCTGGGCTGGGAACTGGGCGCCGGCAAAGCTGTCACCGATGCCACCAGCGCGGCCATTTTTGGCGTGAGCGTCCATTTTGACGACGCAAAGCAACTCATCAGTTTTTCCCTCGAACCTGACAGACTAGAAAAGTGGTCGGCGGAAATTCGGGCAGCATTGCGACATCGTTCGCTCTCTCCTTCGCGCGCCCTGAAACTGGCCGGTAATTTGAGCTGGGGTGCAACAGCTGTGTTCGGCCGGGGCGCGCGCGTGCACCTGGCTTCCATTTTCCGCCATGGTTCGATGAACCACAGCCGGCTATCCGAGCGCACGAGGTTATGCTTGCAGTGGTGGCTGCGCTTCTTACAGAAGCCGCCCGCCCGTAGCGTGCCAGTGGTGCGATCTCACAGAAAGCGTTGCGTCGTGTACACCGACGCCACAGGCCAGGGGCGCATGGCATGGGTCATCCATGCTCCAGGTTTGAAGGCGTGGGCCGCCGCCGCAGTCCCAACGGCAGCGAAGAAATAAGCTTTCCACAGGAAAAACCAGATCGGCACCTGGGAACTCATGGCGGCGATTTGCGCGCTCAAGTATTTAGTGCAGCGCTTGCCTGGTGATTTGGAGATCATGGCGTTCGTCGACAACACGAGCGCTTTGGGCGCACTTTTACGGGGCTGTTCCAGGCAAGCGGACTGGAACGAGCTCATCGGCGAATTGTGATTCTCCGTCGCGCAACGTGGCCATCTTCTGCACCTTTGGCACGTGCCATCGCATTTAAACCTTGCCGACGCGCCCACGCGGCCGGACGCAAAATCAGAGCAGCTGCGTAGGTTGGCCGCCGAAGGTTTCGAGGAAGCGGAGTGGTTGTTCCCAGCCGACGTGCCCTGGCGGGACTGAGCTGCGCGGCCAGGGCGACGCGCGAGGAAAAAAGACACATCGTCATCCATCTGCCATCTCATCAAAGCAGACACTCGCCGCGGTTGCTTCCAGAGCCGTGGTCGAAGAGTATGGCTTTGAGTTTCATCAACAAAAGCCGGGCGGCCAGATTTTCGCCAGCACAGTCGCGCAGCGATGGCGCTGTCGCGTCTCCTCTGGCAGCTGTCGCGCGCGCCTTCGCGGAGCAGGAGGCCCCAGGCACAGACGTTGCCAACCTACTTGCAGTGCTGGCGGAGTCGGGCTTCGTGCACCCGTCCGATCTGAGCGACGTGAACGCAGCCGACTTAACGGAGATTGTCCCGGCTATGGCTTCACTCGAGCGGAGGCTTCGTGCACGCCCTGCTATCGCACTGCCGCGCCGAGACCGGCCGCGAGCATGCGGCCCGAGCACGCCAGCAAACCAGCACCGACGTGGTTGGATCTACAACGCCTTTGGCTGCCGGCGCTGCGCGAGCGACGGCGGCCGCGACCGATAGTCACAGCGCTGGCGCTTGCGGCGGCGGCCGGTTGGAGCAGAGCCACGGGGCGCGCGATGCAGACAGCGGCCGTGCAGCTCTGATCTTGCTTGGAGAGGCCAGGCGCGCCCAGTCTGCTCCTCCGCCCGCTCTGCTGGCGGCGGCATTGACGGCCGCGGCCCGCAGCAGCTGCTTTCCAGGGGCGGCGCCTGCAGGACGGCCGCGAGACGAAGTCAAGCGAGTTCGGCGTGAACACGATGGCGAGCACCTCAACTTGCATACCTTGTGGGTCGAGTTCGCAGGGTGGCGGAGAAGCGCGCCCCAGTGCGCTTCCGCTGTGCGCTTGTGGGGCGAAGCGGCCGCGTCGATCGAGGCGCCGAGTTGGCCGCCATCTGGGCAGATTTTCGACGCCTTCGTTGCCCTGTTTCGCAACGGCAACACTTTGCAGAGATACTTGTCTCACGTGCGCAGCGTGTTGTGTTTGCTGCGCGCCCCGCTCGGCGCGATCGCAGATGCGCAGCGATTGCCCAGGGGGGCCGAAAAGATCACCAGGGATGCGTTCCGTAGAGAACCGAAGAGACCAGACGCATCCGCAAGTGGTGCGCTGAGGCAGGTTACTCGCTACTCGCAGCATCGTGGGCGATCGCTCGCCAGTTCTGTCTCCGGTACTCCGAAGTTTTAAGCTTGGGTGCCACCGCTGTGGCGTTTCGTTGCACTGACGATGTGCGCAGGACGTGTGTCATTCGTTTTGCCCATCGCAAGTCGTACAACGAGCCCTGCGAGACAACGAGGCGGTGCATTTGCCACCAGCAGGGCCGCCTCCTCTGCGGCGTCTGCGCGCTGTTTTCGGTGGGAGAAGCGGGGGCTGCTCCTTTCTCAGGGGTACAATATGCAGACGCACTCGCCGTGCTCAAATTGGCAGCAGCCGCATTGCAGTTGCGCAGCGCGCCCGCTTGGGGTACTCACGCCTTCAGGCGGGGCTTCGCAGACGAGGCCCTCCAACAAGGAGGGCCCGCAGCATTGTTTTTTTCAGTGGCGGCTGGGGCCCTTTTCATATCCACGGCCTCGCGGGCTGGGGGGATTCGAGGCTTGAGGGAGGGCGGAACCGCTGCCGCTGCCCCCGAAAGGGCGGCATGCTGCCTGCGCCCGACGGGGGGCTCGGGGTCTCCGACGAGGCGCCCAGACGACGGACGGCAGGCGGCAGTCGGTGGCGGAGCCGGCCCGGGGCGCTCCCCCCTCGCTGGCGGCCTGCTCCCTCGCTTGGGGGAGGGGGGGGGCGCGAGGGGCTAGGGCGTCCAAGATGGCCCCTCGCCCCAGTCCCCTCCTTTCCCGATCCGCCCGCGGATCGGAAGGCCCTGGGGCCGGAGGTGGTCTATGGTGGGTTTCTTTTCCACTGCCACCACCATAAGTAGGAGGGAGAGTGGGTCCTCCTCCTCCTCCTCCTCCTCTTCCTCCTCCTCCTCCTCCACCGCCTTCCCCCCTCTAACTTATGGTGGTGGTGGTGGTGGTGGTGGTGGAAAGCAGGCCCATTAGTATAACGACATGTGCTTCCCCTCGTCCAGACCCCCTTCCTTGAACGATCCGTGGAGGAGGCCGCGCCCTGGGTCCCGACGGGGGGGGGGGCGCGAGGGTTGAGATCGGCGGGGAGGAGCGCGGCGGGGGCGCGCTCCCCCGCTAGCGGTTCTCTCCCTCGCCGGCGGCTCACGGAGCCTCCTGGGGGGGGTGGCGCCGCGCTTGGGGTGCGCCTCGGGGTCCTGTCCAGAACGCGCCACGGGGGAGGTCTGGAGAGCAGCCTTGGCGTCTCTCGGACGTGTGCATCTTGTACTCGGCGAGGACCTTGGAGGTGCATCCTCGACCCTCGGGCCAACAACACCGCGCACGAGATCGAAAGATGCAGGGTGAATGGAGGTCCGAGCGAAGGCCAGCAGCGATATCAGTATATGGCACGTGAGTGTCAGGACGACCCCGGGGCAGGCGGGGGGTCCGAGGTGGCCCATCCATGGTGTCGGCCAGCAGGGATTCTTGGGGGGCCGCTTCGAGGTACTGTGCTCGGGGAGGGCCTTGTTGCCCCTGTCCGCTTCCGGGGGCCGTTCTCGGGGCCCTGGGACCGTGAGGAACGTATCCAGGCTGGGCAGGACCCCGGGAGGGGTCCTGGCACAGCAGTTGTGTTCGGGGTCCTCTCTCGCCTCGGGGTCCTCTCGCGCTTCCGGCACAACCCCCGGGGGGGGCTGCTGTCTTCGGGGTCCTCTCTCGCTTCGGGGGGACTGTCTCGCGGCGGGGCGGCCGTGCGAGCGCCGTGCCACTCCCGGTTTTTTTCTTGGGGGGGTCCTTTCGACGCGCGCTCGCCTGGGGCTCCTCAGCACAACTTCTGACTTGGGTGTGCCTCATCCCCCCCTCCACACCCACTGTTTGGGGCCCCGATCAGTTCAGACCCCTGGCCGCCTCCAGAGTCGTTTGGCCTGGCTTCGCCCCCCCAGGAGTGCGGCGGGGGCACGCGGGGCAAGACGCGGTCTGTGCTGACGCCGAGCAGGAACGGCGGCATGGAGTGCGGCGTCACCATCGAGGAGCGGGGCTGCGAGGGCTCTGGGCTTTCCACATGGGGTCATGTTGGGTGGGATCAGAGGATCGCGTCGCATCGCCGGGGCATCGCCGATGCGGCTCGATGTCGAGCCCGACTTCATCCACGTCGGCGTCGCCGATGCAGCGCCAGCGTGCGTCATCGATACATCGGCGACGACTAGGCGATGCATCGGCGATGCGACCCGATCCACTGGCCCCATCAGCTCGGACCCCATGTCCCACTTGGGAGGCCTCTTGCCAGAGGGGGACAAGGTACGGTGGGTCCGTGCCGCGCCGACGTGGGTGCGACCCCGCCGCCGGCGCTGAACGTCGCCAGTGGCCCAGAATCGGCCAGCATGGAACGGCCTGACAGTCCGAAAGCCGCCGCGCACCCGCCGCACCGATACCGCTGCCCCTCTCGTTCTCGCCTTTCTTGGGCCTCCTGAGAGGCCCTCGTCGCCGCGGCCGGATTCGCTTTGGAAGCCCTCGTCGCCGCGGCCGGATTCGCTTTGGAAGCCTGGCCGGACGCACTCCGGGAGATGTCGGGGCACCAGCGGTATCGGCATCGTTTGGTTCCGTTCAGGGTGGGGAGTGGTCCGAGTCCGGGGTCTGGGGGGTGGAGGGGAGGCGTCCGAAGCTCCGGCGCGTCCTCTGGCACGTCTCTCTGCGTCCAGTGGGACCGTGGCTCGTCGGCCCGTCCCCTGGCGCGCCTTCTGTCACGTCTCCTGGGCACGTCCCGTGGCGCATCCCTGGCGCGTCCATAGCACGTCTCTGGAGACGTCGTCCCCTTGCACGTCTGCTGACATGTTCCCTGCCGCATCCCCTGGCGTGCCCCTGGCTCGTCCGGTGGCGCGGCCGCATTGTAGTCATTCGCTGTCCAACGTTGGATCAGGGCTCGGTTTTTCCTTTGTCCGAGGCAGAGCGTGCTGAGTGGCGACGGTGGGAGAATCCGGGAGGCCGCGTGGCACGAGGCAATGGGGAGGAGGACGGGGAGGAGGAACCTGCCACAAAGTCTCTATACCGACATCTGGGTTCCCAGTGGGCGAGCCTTGCCCATTTGCCCAAAGCGCGGGTTCGTGCTTGATCCGCCACATTGCGGCTCCAGCTTCGGCGTTGAGGACAAGGACCCGCGCCGCCCGCGGGTGCGTCCGAGGAGTGGCAGGAGGAGGAGGAGAAGGAGGAGGAGGAGGAGGGCGAGGAAGGCGCCGACAAGGCCGACGACAACCATCAAGAGGCGGCGAGCAGGCTTGGCAGACCTACAGCCTGTGTTTTCTGGGATCGTGGTTCGCGCATGCTCTCCACTCCTCCAACATATCTGATTGAAAATCAAAGTCGTTGTTTGGAGGCCGCTGCGCTGTCACGTGTTGTGTCTCCATCTGGGAGTTCCCTTGTAATGAGAGAAACCACCTAACATGCGAGTGATGCTATAAAGCCAAGGTGGCATCCTCTGACCGTGCATATGTCTAGGTGATTTGTCTATGGTTTACAATGTTGCTCGTCGCTTCAAGTGTTGCAAATGGGATTGCGGATATGCGCGCGCCGTGCTCGTGAGCAGGATTGCCATCTGAGTGTGGCCCGTGATCCTTGTATCGGAGGTTGGGGAGCGAGATCGAAGTGGAACGGAGACCCCCCCCACCGGGAAATCGGTTTCGGTTTCGTGTGCGTGCGTGCCGTGCGTGCGGGCGAGGCGAAGCTACGTGGGCGGGCGAGAGGGAAGTCTCCTGTGGCTGAGGCGCGGCCGGACCAAATGATTCTCCCTCCGGCAAGCGGTGGCCCGCGGTGTCCCGCTGGTGTCCCGCCAGTGTCCCGCTTGTGGCTGGGCCCCGGCCGGACCAAATTATTCTCCCTTCGGCAAGCGGTGGCCCGCGGTGTCCCGCCGGTGTTTCTCTGGTGTCCCGCCGGTGTCCCTGTGTCCCGCTGGTGCGAAAACGATAGTGAACCGATGACGAAACCGATTGTGAGATCGATAGTGATATCGATAGTGAGACCAATAATGAGATCGATCGTGAGATCGATAGTGAAATCGATAGTGAGATGAATCGTGATATCGATTGTGAGATCGAGTGATATCGATAGGGAGATCGTTAGTGGGATCGATAGCGAGATCCAGAGTGAGATCGACAGTGCAATCGATCGGCATCTTGTTGGTTCCCGGGGGGGAGAATGATACCAAGGCGCCCAAGAGCGAATGATGACGTAAACAACTCGACACCAAGGCTCCCAAGAGCGAGCGGCAACGCAACCATCACCACTGTTGTCCATTTCTGGCCCCCCTCCCCCCAACCTCCTTATCACCCGCAGGGTGGTCGTATAGGTAAGAGATTCCTTGATTCCGCGGACACACGAGGGACATGTACAACTCTTCCTCCCCTTCCTCATCTCGTCTTCATGTACCTCCTCTTCCTCTCTTTCGCTCCCTTCAAGAATCACCCGAAACTTCCAGGACCAACTGGGAACACTGAACACAATACGACGATTAGGAACACCGTTTTACCTCCCTCCTCATCCTCCCTGAGTCGTTGGCTCAAACAGCCCCTTGAAACCCCGAAGAAGCCCCGAGGACCTCCTGCGGCTCCCCTAAACAATCCAACCGCCTCCGCCTCCTCCCCCCCTCCTCTGCGCTCCCCCTCATCCTCCTTCTCCTCCTCCTCTTTGTGGCGCATTCCTCAAGTCCCAGAAACCGAACATCATCCCACTCCGAGGGACGGCACGCGACAGTTCTTGAGCCATTTGCCCGATAATTGACTCATCTGGCCAGGCCTTTGGACTCCCCCCTTCCGCCTCTTTTCGCTCCCGCTCTTGTTCCTCCTCCTCCTCCTCCTCCTCCTCCTCCTCCTCCTCCTCCTCCCTCCCTCTCTCCCTCCCTCCCTCCCTCCCTCCCTTTCGCCCTCCCTCCATCCCTCCCTCTTCCTCCTCTCCCTCCTCCTTCCCCTCTCCTCTTTCCTCCCTCCCTCTCCTCCCTCCTCTCCCTTCCTGGTCCCTTCCTCCCTCGCCCCCTTCCTCCTCCCGGCCCCCCCCACGCCTCCGTGGCAGGAGCAGGCTTGCAACACGGGGTCCTGCAGGAGGGACTGCACTCTCGCACCGTGGACGGACTGGGAGCCTTGCACGCAGGCCCGGGGGAGGGGTGATGGGGGAGGGGAGGAGCAGGTGGAGGAGGTGGAGGAGGTGGAGAAGGCGGAGGAGGACCAGTGTAAACCCAAGCGTCACCAACGGTGCTGGAATGAACCCTCCCTCCACGCTCCCTCTTCATAGGCCCCCACGACGGTTCACTCCCATTGAGGGAACTGCCTCGTTCGAAGACCACCGCTTGAAGACCTTCACGCATGCCAAAACATTGTTCTCGGGACTCCAACGCCACTGGTACACCTGAACCTGACTGTTGCGTCTGGACGATCCTAAATCGTACCAGAACGCCATTCCTGGGATTTCGATAGAGCGAAGCCACGTAACTGCTGCCGCACTGCTGCCCCCCCCACATAACCCTCAATCCGTTGAAAACACAAGTGCTGGTACGTTGATGATGGGGAATGCGAGGATCGCTTGCAATTGTTGTAAACGAATGTACGCGGCGCTGAGGCGAGAGCCACATTTTGAAAGGGAACTGCCCTCAACCAGTGAAGCTCCTGCAACTTAAACAAGCGGTGCTAAGGCGAGAGCCACATGCTGAAAACAGCCCGCCCTGAACCCGTGAATCCTTACAATTGTTGGAAAAATGGGCGCCGCGCTAAGGCGGGAGCCGCATTTGGAAAACCAGCCGCCTTCAATCCGTGAAATTCTTGCACATGCTTAACACGAAAGTGCGCCGCGCTGAGGCGAGAGCCACATGTTGAAAACCACCCTCCCTCCATCGGCGAAACTGCTGCCAACTTGTAAGCTTCAGAGCCATCAATGGTGAGGAAGTCCCAGGCTAGACGCCTGGACCGCCCTAACAATTGGCCTCGTGGTGCGACAGGGAGAAGATATCTATAAGGAAAAGGAATGAAGGAAGAGCAGGAGCAGGAGTAGGAGGGAAGGAGCAAGAGCAGGAGACGGAGCAGGAGGAGGAGGAGGAGGAGGAGGAATTGTTTTTGACATCCACGTCCACTAGGGCATCTTAGAGGCACATGTGCCGTCCAATTCAACAGTCACCCAACCATCTTGGGATGGAGGCCTTTGCAGAACTCGGGCCAAACCCCTGTGCGTCTCGCATTGCCCGAGGACCAGGCATTCTTATCCTTCTCAGGTGCAGCGGACGCACCTTGGGCGACACGATCGATGGCAAGGGTCACACAAGAATCGCAGTCTACCAGAGGCGCAAAATCACACGAGGCCGCCGTCGCTGCAAGCGGTCACAATACACGTATGGCCAAGATTGCGAAGCGTCTTCGGGCCTACGTCCAGCTTGTTATCGCAGCGTCCAGGAGGAGGGCGCTCACGTGAGCGGGAGCTCTTAAAACATTCACGCGTTGCCAAAGCTTTCCTGCCCCAATTTTAGTGATGAGGAGGCCTCGGGTCATTAGGAGCGGGAGAGGGGGGTCGGGGCTCGAACAACCCCTTTCAAGTCCGCGCGAGGCCACCTCTCCATCAGGTGAGCTGCACGTCTCTCGGCGGCCTGGGCGACGGAAACCGAACAATCATCTTGCTCTCCTTCATAAGAGGAAAGGGGAGGGTGCATCATCGCTCTCCGTTTCGCAGCCCTGCCCGTTTCATTATTTAATCGCTTCGCTCACTCCGCCGGCCCGTATTGTGCCATCGCAGGCGTTTGCTTGCGCGTTCGTGGCCTCTCGGAGGCCGTTTGCGGGCCTCTTGGAGCCTCTTTTTTTGTGCCTCTTGGCGGTATTTCTGGGACCTCCTGGGGCGTCACGGGGGCCTCTTGGGGGCCTCTGGGGGGTCTCTTGGGGCCTCTCGGGGGCCTCCGAGCTCAACGCCGCGAGGGAGGCGGAGCAGGCGGTGCGCCGGCCTGCCCTGGTCGAGGAGCTCAGGGCGAAGCAGGCGCGCGCGAGGAGGAGGTCGTGAAAGCCTGAGGCAGGCCGCGGGAGCGTCGCGGAGGTGGGCCTTGTGGCGGATGCGGGCAATATCTTTATCCACGTCCAGTGCGTCTTGGAGTTTCGGACACTCTTCCCAAGAAACATGAGGCGCACTGGATATGGATTGTAGTCTGCCTCCAAAAGGCTCAATTTTCATCCATATCCAGTGCGCCTCGGCCTTGCGGCGCCCCTTCAAGAAAGTCCAAGACGCACTGGATATGGATATAAATATTGCCCGCGTTGGAGAACAAAAAAGAGGCTTCTTGGGGGCCTCTTGGGGCCTCCAGGGTGTCCGTTCGGGTCCCTCGTCTGGGCCCGCTCTTGGAGCCGTCTTGGGAGCCCTTTTCGGCCATCTTGGAGGCCTTTGGGGCTGTATTGGGGCCCTCTGGGGCCGTTTTGGGTGTTCTTGGAGGCCTCTTGGGCCAGGTTGGGGCGATCTTGGGAGCCTCTTGGGCCGTCTTGAAGCGCCAGTGAGCCGGAAAGGCGAGAACGCCAAAAACCTTCAGAAACGGCAGGGAAATCATTAATTCTTGCCTCTGTGGACCCTCTTTGGAGGTCTCTTGGAGGCCTCTTGGGGCGTCTTGAAGGCGCTTTGGGCTGTCTCGAGGCCATTTTTGGCGTCTTGGATCGCTCTTGGACCGTCTCGGACCATGTTGAGCTCTCTTGGAGGCCACTTGAAGCGCTCTTGGAGCGCTCTTGGGAGCCTGCCCGGGACCTGCCCGGACCTTGCCAGGACCTTGCCGGGACCTTGCCGGGACCTTGCCAGGACTTGCCGGGATCTTGCCAGGACCTTGCCAGGACCTTGCCAGGATACTTGTCGTCCGGGGACCCCCAGGCCTGGGGCGGCCCCGCGCGCGCGAACTAGAAAACTGGAGATCGTAGCACGCCCTTGGCCCGTTGGGCCGGCGAATTGTCTCAGATCGTGAAGTTACCCTCGATGGGCAGAGGCGGGTCGTTTTCTTGGGCAGCTTTGACCGTCGACGCCCTTCCAAAAAATACAGCGAGCGCATGAGTCTGCATAACGAGGCCAGCATAGGGTCCATTCGGGTGAACACGCTCCAGCTTGGTCTTCGCAAATTCATTGATGACTACCTTGCAGTCCGATATTCACTCACAAGGCCCCGAGACATGGATGATGCGCTAGCTCGGGCCGTAAACTCAGAAGCCACACTATTCTGGGGGTAAATTCAGACTGTCCAAAAGCCCGTGCAGTCTGGCCATGATCTCTCCAGATGAACCAAGACTCATAACACCCCCACTTCTGGAAAGGTCCTCGACCTGATAGCGCAGGCACGAGCCATCCAGAAAGATCGTTCCCGAGAGCTCCCTCACCCAAGGTGACGTTGGCGGAAGACTTTCCTCGGCGAAAGCTTAAAGAAACGATTCAAAGACAAGTGACTCCTAGGCGTCCTTCTGGGTCAGTGGCCCAGAGCAAGAGACGGAGGGGTGGTTGGACGAGCTAGCTCGTCTCAGACAGCAATTTGGAATCAGGAACATCTGAGGACTCGATCTCAGACCTCACACTCTACAGCAGCCTCGGACTTCTAAGCTCATTCGTTTGACCCGCGCATGCTGGACAACACCAAAGTCAGTGGAGCACAGTGTCTCCAAACTGGCCCCAAAGCGGACAAACATCGTCGATTTCGTACCCGCTGGCAGCAGCCCTACTCGTCGGCCACAAGGCCTGACAGGTGACAGTCTTGATGGCTCCACTTGTTTTTGGCGAGAACCTGCTCGAGCCCAGGGCCCTGGACACGAGGTCCAAGCACAAGCGGGATCCCTCAACGGCGTTTGACATCAGCCGTGAGTTTCAGCTCCTGGGCAGCCGAATCCTCAGAAACACTTTAGACGGGCAGGGTACAGTGAAAATTCATAGTGAGGACGGGCAAGCTTCCCAAGGGCAACCTTGCGTCCTCGGATGTGTTCGGCAGTGCGCCGCTAGAAGAGCTTCAGCCTGGGCGCCCAAGGACCCTCCAGGGGGTTTGCGTCCTTACAGCGCGTCCTTACTATAGATTTTGACTGTAGGCGAGAACTCGGGAGGGGAAAAAACACGCAGACACAATTAATCGTCGATCCCCCAGACAATATGGGAATATATATATATATACATATATATATATATATATATATATATATGGGAAGTGGGGGGGAAGACAGAAACCCAGAAAACATGGGAAAATATGGGAATCTGTTTATTCGTGTGCATTTATCTGTGTGTCCCAGGGCCCCTTCAAGAACGAGCGGGGCAGAGGGTGCCGTCCTCGCCCGCGCGAAGTGCATGGGCCGGTCGTATGGCCCGAGCGAGGCGCTCTCGACGGGGCACGCGCAGAGCTCCCACACGGGGCCTCTGACGGCTCCCCGCGCCCCGGGAGGCATGCGCCAGTCGGGGAAACGCAAGGCCCGAGTAAGCCGGAACTCGGGTTTGCCGACGCTTTTTTGACGAGCGCGTCCTGGATTTTGACGATCCAGTTTTCGTGGGATGTCTGCAGCGGGGGCTCGCGTCAAGTTTCAGATTGGGCCTCGCCATTTTTTGTAGGCCCCGTCGGGCCAACCCGAGTCCCCCGTACCCGAGTCTTACGTCTCCCCGAACCAGGTTCAGGAGGGAAAAATACACACAGACACAAGCAATCGTCAACTCCCAGGAAAATATGCGAAAATATGGGAAGTGGGGGGGGAAGACAGAGACCCAGAAGATATGGGGAAATAGGGGGGATTCGTTTATTTGTGTGTATTTGTTTGTGTGTCCCAGGGCCCCTTCACAGATCGCAGCCCTACCTATACGACCACCCTGCGGGTGATAAGGAGGTGAGGGGGGAGGGGGAACCAACGCCTCACTCAATCGATCTCGCTATCGATCTCACAGTCGATATCACATTCGATCTCACTATCGATATCATTATCGATCTCGCTATCGATCTCACTAGCGATCTCACTATCGATCTCACGATCGATCTCACAATCGATCTCACATTCAGTCTCACATTCGGTCTCACTGTCGATCTCACTATCGATCTCACAATCGATCTCACAGTCGATCTCACATTCGGTCTCACTATCGATCTCACTATCGATCTCACAATCGGTCTCACTATCGATCTCACATTC